CATAACCTTTGTTATCTCACCAATTTTGCTTCGTAAGGTTTTTAGTCATTGAATAGGACATTGGTACTGGTTAGTGTATGAAAATGTGACAGAAGAGATTTTGTGTTTGATCCACAACCAACATTGTAGAGAGGGTCAACATACACATATGTCTTCATAATGATAAGATATTGTCCGCTCCATGCAAATGTCTCACGAATTTGCTTTTGGTTCTAAACCAAAAGTCATGCATCTATTCTTTTTATACGATGTGAGACTTTGTTTGTATCCTAACAATACTCAATATCTCTTGTTCTCCACCTCTCATGATTCATCTGGTTGTCTGTCACCGGCTTCATGTTAGGGTTTCACCTTACTATGGAGGGACATACTCGTTTGAACCGGTTACTAATCATCAACTCTGATACCAATTGTAGCGAGAGTCAACATACACATAGGTCTCCACAATGATAAGATATTGTTTGCTCTAGGCCAAACCCTCACGAATTTGTTTTTGGTACCATTCAAAAGATTTTTTTACCAATGGAGGTATATCTCTATATAAATTCATGTACATCTCTTGTTTTTATATGATGTGAGACTTTGTTCGTATCCTAACAAAAATATCCATTGTATCAACCTTACATTACCTAAATAATATACTATTCATATGATTACTTATTGTCCAAATAATTGCTAACTATACTACCTTTTAAACATTGTTTTGTTTTCTATTTAGAATCAATAGGTAGAATTGTTAAAAGTTTGTTTGTGGTAGGTTATGATGCATTGAACTTATACCCACCACCTATGACATTGTTACCAAATTTCCTTTGATACAAGACGACTACAAAATAAGTGTATGACACTTTCCTCAGTTTGTTTACATAACTCAAAAGAATTACTTTGTAGCCCTACACCTCTATGTAGTAAGTTGTCCTTTGTTGATATCTTATTCAATAGGACTCCCAATTCAAAATGTTGTGCAATCGAAAGAGCTTTCAAACTCAAAAAAATTAAACAATTGAGTGTTTTCCCCTACTGAAACATTTTATAATATATTGTATGCAGACCTTACTATAAACATTTTGTCCTCACCTTCTTTCCAAGCCTAAGTATTTTCCTTTTAACTATTAAATATTTTGGTTTGTTATAATTTGCATTAATTCTTCTTCTTGGTCTAATCTCTCTCTCTTTCGAGACATATTCTAGACCACATTCTTTCTCTCCATTCACCTAGTTGTCTAATCATTTTTTTCTTACTACTTCATATAGTAAACAATTGAGAAAAACTACTACTGATAGGAATTTGTTATACTTAAGTCTTTCCACCACCATGATGCATGCATTACTCTATTATACTCATTTAAGTTTCTTCATGATCCATACTTAGAATTTAAGATCTCCTTCCATAATCCCTTATTTTTCACACTCATTCTCCATTTTCATTTTGCTAATAAAGTTATATTAAACTTTTCCCTGTCTCTAATTTCTAGCTCATCCTCAACCTTTGATTATATAATTTTTCTCATTTTATCCAAGCTATCTTTTGATCCTTTGAACTTCATATCCTCACAAAAAATTTTATTTATATTTTCTTGATCATTTGACAAACACACTTTAGTGCTATGAAAAATTACAAGTAAAAATAAATGTTCCGCTCTTCCATAGATAGCTTATTTCTTTAAACGATGCATAGAAGTAAACCGAAAAAATAACTTTGTATTTGTTTTTAAAATATGGATTAATCTGTACATAATTTTAATACTATTAATTAGTGTTTATTTTCTCTTCTTCTACTGAGACAGCTGACACTATTCTTTGAAGATTTTCCTTATAATGCATTTTAGTTTCTTTCCATATCTCACATTTTTTTCCCCAAAAGATGTGTTGAAGAAGTGAGGAATCTTTATACCCTGTAATGGCATCGCAAGTAAGAAAAATGTTTGTAAAATTCTACATGCTAATAAATTCAAAGTTAATTAAATTTTAAACTTAGTTAGATATTTTTAATTATAGTCTTATTAAAAATTAATATTATATTAAATATATCATTTTTTTAGTTGAATCATTTTCATTTGATTTTGTAATCTTAAGAATATGATCACAAAGTTCGAGAATAATAAAAATAAATATCTAAAATCTTAATTATTTTTGTAAAAAATAATTTTATTTTTTAAATTAAATAATAAAACAAAATAAAATAAGTATTCCACAATTATTATTTTTTCAGTGTCTAAGTTTATGATATTATATTTAAGATTGCAAAATACAATAATTATATATTGACAAAGACTTAGTTAACAAAATATAAAGATTTTGGACATTTCATCAAACATAATCTCTTAATAAAAACCAAGTAAAAATGTTTAGATTTATAAAAGACAAAAAAAAATTATGTTATTTTTTATTTTTTACATGGAGAGATGTCATGTTAATGAAAGATATATCGTCACTATATTTGAAAGCAAACAAAAAAATATAAAATTTTAGATTCTCAATTAAGAATTTAATTCAAAATAATAAAATCTGTGATAAATTTAAAAATAAATTAAGTAAGCTATTTTCTTAAAAATTAAATTATAGAACTAGCAATAGGAAATTGAGTTTAATGCAGTAAAATAATTCCACAAAATGATATATTAAAAGAGACATGTTGGGTCTGAGTTTTGAGCGGTGAACATTACTTAAGAAGGAAAAATATGTACGTAATTTAACATATTAAAACAAAATCTGTATAGTGGAATCTAACTAGATTTAGGAGTTTGGAGTTTGAGACATTGAGATGGAAGTAATAAATAATTTAGTCAACATTTGATGATGTGTTTGTGAAACGCACGACCATCCATATGGCATGGAAACTATACAAATACCAGAATTATATTATTTAAATCGAGTAAGCTTCTAATTGTGAATCTCCATTTTTTCTTTATTCAAAACAATTTCGTAGTTGTCAGTGCTGTCTATATCATATTGCACCAATATTAATATTTTTTTTATAGGATTTGAAGCCTAGTTAGAGTTTAATATTTCATTTCAAGACCATTATTTTTTTTTTTACTTAGCTATATCTTGCTAAATTTTTATATTCCCAAATAAGAAGGAAAACGAGAGAGAAATTTGTTGCCAGTTATTTTATGGACGTTTAAGAAAAAACATATTATCAACTCATTCAAATACAACTTATTTTATGAAAAGATTAACAAAATAAGAATGAAAGGAAAAATGTACCTCTACAAAAAATAAAAATAAAAATAAAAAATAGATTAAATTGAAATTTGGTGACTAATAATCAACTTCTGCTTTATCAATGAAACAAAAAGTGATTCGATGAAGGGACATGATTATGGAATGATATCGTTTTAAACTGTAAAAATGTAGTTTTAAAATGTCAACGACCACGTCTTTTCTTTAGATCAACATATTTTATTTTATTTTATTTTAGAAAGGTAAAAAAAATGAGCTATCCATTAAATTAATGATAAAATATCAAAATTCTCATCATTACTAGATTTCTGAATCTTCTTTGAACATTTATTAGATTATGGTTTATCTTAATTTTTTGGATCGTGCTATGTCTAAAAGACTAAAGTGATAAAAGTTATGTGAATATCTAAAAATTGTAAACCTCTCTTATCCTATTGATTACTCAAAGCATAATCGATATTGGTTTTGGTTATTCAAAACCTTTTTTCCTGTAGCAAAAATACTTATGTAAACAATGTTGTATAATTTATTCCTTGATGAATTTTGGTAAATAACGTTCTTTTACTAAAAAAACTTGTATTAGAAACAATATTACGTGTATAAGTGTATTTTGGTATATCTAGTAATTTTTTATTATTTAATTATTAAAATAAAAAACAATTTAAATACATATTTTTCCTTTAACTCTATATTTATTTGTAAGTGAAAAAAATCAATGAAACTCAAATATTCAAAACAAATAAAATATCTCATATGTTATTAATCCTAGTGATAATAATACCGATGTCATGTAATTACATATGTATTTAGTTTGTAATAAAGCAGAAACCTTTAACGCAAACAGAAACCTCCCACTCATGCAAAATGTTTTGATTGTGTTTTAATCAAAGTTTTTATCCTCCATGATTTCTTCTTGCATTTCTTTTCTTTTTTTTCAAAAAAAATAATATTTTTTATAACAATCAAGGATTTCTAAATTTTTGAGTTTTAGAAATTAATTTCTATTTGATTTCTATCTCTAAATAAATTTCTAAACTTATAACAATCATGAATTTCTCAAATTCTATTCAAATCATGTGTAATTAAAAAATGTAATTGAATAATAAAAAATTAAAAATAATTTGAGTTTTAGTACTATTACACATTGTATGTTTTGAAAAATCAAATGTAGTCTTCTAGACAATACAGGTATTAAAAGAACAGAATAACTTCTTAATTGTACAGTCAAATAACAACCTTATTAAAAAAAACCATAAAAAATAGAATTGCTTTAATTCAAAATTAAGAAATTCATAAAGCATTTCCAAAAATGTTTAATTACAGTGTAATACATATTTCAGATTTTACATTGTAATACTTCAGCCGGCAACTTAAACATGTTTAGAGTCTTTCAATATTACAATAAACAGTTTCTGTTTCCCTTATGTAGACTACATTGAATATAGGGATCATATACTATAAAATGAACATTCTATTAGCAAAGTCATATCACCACTCATTTATAAAGTCAACTCTATTGTGTTGTAAATGAACTCAAGTGAGATACGGGTATTAGATATTCAACCACATGCCAATAACCTTTGACCAATATCTTTGTCATACAGTAAATAGATTGATCACAAGCTAAAGCTTCTACTGGCAAACCAAACCCACTAACAAACTCGCGACTAATATTCATATAAACGAATGATAATAAAAAGAACATAATCGGCACCTGAACATTAGTAGTTCATTTACTTGGTAAATAAAGTGATTCTGCATAATAACAGTTGTAAGGAATAAATAGGAACGAAGAAAAAAAGGGAATACAAACATTGTAGGTAAAAAATATATTACCGCCAAAATTGATTAGAAATACAAATATAGTTACAAATAATTAGACTCGTCTAATTTACAAAGTCGTTGATATAATCAAATACCCTGGCGCAAAAAATTGGGTAAAAAGCCTCAAATTGCATATTTCTATATATATTTTTGACTATATCACAGTGCTACGGGAAAAATCGGTTATCAAGGAGAATTCTGTACTTAGACCATGAAGAAAGGAGAAACACAGCACTTGATGAAAGAGAAACTATTTAGCTACTCGAGGTATCCTCGTCGCTATCATCACTGTCATCGCTGCACGGCAGTAAATACGAGAGAAAATTATCAACAACATAATTGTGCGTGGATTCTTGACTTAAACTCAGGTGTTAGAGAACAAAAGTCAAATGTATAAAAAAAATTATTCGGAATTAACAGTTTATGATAACAGAACCTAAATAATCAGGTTAAAAGTATATATACTTTATACAGTGATTTATAAAAAATCAACAGATTATCTAACTAATAAAGAGAAGTAGTTTTGCGTATTCAAATTGTGGAAATGAAATTTCAAAATTAACCTATAATTTCATCATCCCCTTACTCGAGATAAATTTAAAATAAAACCATTTCACAAGACAATTTTTTTTCCGTAGAAAAACAAACGATAAAACGTGTACATATGCGGTCCTTATAAGAAACATGGTCCTGAGTACAAAACGCAAGATCCACTTTCAGAAGTATTAAAAAACTATCTCTTTTTATACCAATAATTCAGTTGGAAATTCCTTCTTAAGATAATATTTGCCTATTAACAAGAAGTCACTTGTTGCATGTCAGGTTCATCATCGTTTTTCCCACAAATATACAGGATTAAGTAACTTGCATTAGATTGAAATGATCCTCGAAGAGAAATGCACATTTGATTATATACATACCTATATTCGGGAAACTTGGATAGACGTCTAGCATCCAAACCAGTAATATACTTCTGAGCTGCTTGAACATTTTCTGAACCTGGAAAACCCAAATCCATAAAAGAGTTAGAAGTGTATCTCCATTCCATTACATGATCAAGGGTCTGCTTGTGAATAAAACTAATTTATAGATGTTCTTACCTATTAATTTCTCTAAAAGGAATTTTTTAATACATATATAAGTTAATTTTAAAAAAGATGTTCACCCCAACAAACCCTTTCTTCTCCTAATCGAGACTTCTACAGATATTCCAGATACATAATCCAACTTCTTCTCATGCATTCATTGATAATCATAACTTGTTGGCTTGTTAGAATATAACACTCAAATTATATACAACACAAATCTTATGATGTACTGTAAAACTTTGCCTTAAGCTTCAGTTGTAACAGGAAAACACTCAGCGCACTGCTCCATTTCATCCACCAAATCCTAGGCTTTACAGTAAATTTCCTTTTTCTATCATTTTGAATGATGGACACTGGATGCACTTCATACTAAGTAACAATCATTAAACACTGACTTATACTTAAACAAAAGTCACGGGTTTAAAAACAAATCAGGTAATAAAAAAAACCCAACAATTGATTTCATTCATAAGAATAATAATGCAACTTGAAAGAATAACTACATGCTGCAAGAACCGCCAGCCAGACAAAAAAATTTCAAAAAATCATTATGGTTTCACGACTACTCGTGGAACATCCTTTACCATATTCATTCAATAGTCAAATATATAATACAAGATAAAGGGCATATAACACAATTACAAGTGAAAGTACCCTTTGCAAGTTGGAAGGCATGCAGCGCACATCGTTCTGCAGCAAGTCTAACTGGGGTATTCGCATCTTTCAAACAATCCGCTAGTGCAGGACCAACTATGGTGCCTTGTGACAAAATGGCCGATGGATTTGCCTGAAAAGATTCAGGAATACACCAAATATAAATTTCCAAACATACTATTCTACAGGTGGATACTGTGTGAGGGCAAGATTTCATACACATACCTTAGCAACAGCTTTTATGGCAGACAATGCCCTTCTCCTAACTTCACTGGAGTCATCACGGGTGGATAAAATTAGCAGTGAAAGAACATCTTTGTAAAGCACTGTATCAGAAGGATCTATCTGAGCTCTATAAAGAAGCAGCCTTCCCAATGCCTTGGTTGAAGTTTCTCGAAGAGGGAACTATTTTACAGAAAATTGAATAAAATTAAACAATAGCCACATAACAAGAAACTTGTTGGACTAGAGATTTAAACACATTTACTTCTGAAAAAAATATAAAAATAATCTTGATTTTAGGCCAAAACTTGAGTAAAGAGGGTTTTCTCAAAGCAAGAAGTTCCTCCTTCAAATAACCAAAAATAATATGCTGAAAACTAAGATGCCTTCAACAAGTCTGTCACAGAACCTGTACATCACTATAACTATCACATCTTAAAATCTACTGCTACATTTGATAATATAAAATGGAACCCAATGATGCCAAATACAGAATTAAAACTGCATAGTTCAGAAACTTAGGCAATTAAAACCAATTCAGGATTACCATACCTTCTCATCCTTTAGGGTGTCTCTAAGGCAATCAACAATAGTTGGGAACAAGGAAGACGAACAGATTGTTGAGGGATTGTAACGAAACAAGGAAGATATTGTAAGGACGGAACCATGCCTGGCTGGCCAGCTAGGTGAATTAGCTAGAGTTGACAGTTCTTGAATCAACTCTGTCAGCTGAACATCTTCAAGGTACTGGAGTTATAGTAACATAATAATTAGAAAACACAAAAAACAAAATCAACCGATGAAATAGAATTAAGCACTCAGTTAAATCTCAGAAATGACAGCAAAAGTAATAATAACATAATTTAGCGATAGAAAAATGACAATTTAATTTACTTTTTTCTTTCAATCTGAACAAAATAGAAGAGGAACATATTATAGTCATTCAAATCCAATCACAGAGAAATACAAACACATCAGTGAATACAAATCCAATCAATAGTCTACACACCTGTGCCAAGATTCCCAATATGCTAGAAGCAAATATCCGAACTTGATCATCATCATGATGAATTAAATCCTTGAGAACATTGTAAAAACGAGTTCTAACAGCCAAGCTGACATTTTTCCCAGCATGCTTCAAGACACCCTTTAATGCAGTCAGAATAGCTTCCCGTGCTCCGCCATCAGATCCCTAAATAATCAAATTGCCACAGTTTTGTATTAAATAAGTGACATCAGCAATACTAACATATTATCAAGTATTCCATCAGATTAAGTAAGAATAGCAGAAATAAAATCACCTGCAAACTGGACAGCAAATCACTAACTAAAGGGTCAACCCTGGTACTGAGTCCGCTAAGCTTCCCAAGTGCCAACGCAGCACTAGATCGAACAGTTCTGCAGTCACATGCATGTTAATAAACACGAATAATAAAATATAGATGAAATTTATTTAGGAGAATCCCAAATATCAACATTTCATTCCAAGTTAAGTAAAAAAGTAACAGGTTGGAAGGGCATTGGTTCAGTTCAAGATAGATGTTACCAAGGGAGTGGCATTCAAGGCCATAGTCACATGCATATTAATAAGCACGCATAATAAAAGAAAGATGAGATTATGTTAAGAGACTACTCCCAAAGATCAACATTTTAGTAAAAGGTAATTAGAAAAGTAACTCAGATTCGAAGGGCAGTCGTTCATCTTAATAAAAATGTTTCCCATGGAGTGTGATTCAAGGTTACAGCATAGAGAAAATAGTGTGGAGCCTCAGCGGTAAGGGGAAATCTATGGAGGAGTTTTCTCTCCTTTTATGTTTGAGTTTGTAAAAAAAATGGTCCAGTGTGCCAAATCTCGTCTTTTAAGAAGTGAAAAATTAGATGGTAAGAATGGAAGTGAAGATGAAAGGGACAAAGGGTAGGGTAGTATTCATTCAAGGAAAAATGGAGCAGGCAACAGCCTTGCATGCTAGAGTTTTGCACAATACCATCAACTCACCACCAATACACAAAAACTGTTGTATTCATCCTTTGAGGATGGATAGTCAACTAAGAATGAGCTTTGGTCACATGTATGCTGGCCAATCTTCCCCTGCTTTAAGAACAGTCAAAATAAGTATCTGTTGTCCATTTTTTTCCTTTTCATTTTTACTGCAACATTTCTTCTCATGAGGATTTTGAATATCTCATTATGTATCTTCATCTTCTTTCATAACAAACTATGTTAATAAAAGAGAACATAAATTAGGCATTAACAAACTTAGTAATTCCTTTACGTCAGGTTCTCCTCTTTAATTATGGCATAACTGAAGGTCGAAGTTTAGTTACTAAATTTTTTCTACGTTCCACCCATTTGATATTTCCCCCAAAAAGTACTTAGATGTCAGTTAGCAAGTCATGTGACAAATCCTGCAAACACTTAATTGAATGATTTGAGATATTAATATATTATGTGATGCTGAAAGGTGATTAACACATTTTCAAATCACAACATCAAACATACAAAAGGTGCTAACTGAGGGGGTGAACACATTAAATTTGGGAGGGGAGGGATGATTTTATAATATATTAATATCTCAAACAAACCTTGTAGAATCCTGTAGACACTTGACAAATGTTGTTTGCAGCTGAGGAAGAAAAGGCTTCAGGGAGATTCCTCCCTTTTTTATCATCGATGTTAGAGTAGACAAGATGGCACTCTTCACTTGCCATGGGAATCGATCACCTATAATTCGGATAAGAGGCCTACGACAAACAAGATTGGCAAAGTCAAGATATATAAAATATAGGTCCCCAAAATAATAAATGATAAAATATAGCATTCATTTGGGTATGATCCATGGACAATCAAATGCCAACCTCACCTAAAGTCTTAAGAAGAAAATATGTAAACATAAAACCATGAGAGGAGTAAGATCAAGCTCTAAATAAACTTACTGGTCAAAACGGCCCTAAATACCCTATTTGTCAAATTAGCTTTAACACCCAGTCAAGGACTCAAGAATCAAATCAATAACTCCAGTTGCAAGGGAAAGACATAATAATTGTATATCTTTAATAAATGAGACTAGCTGAACTTATTGAAATTTTCTTAAAAGGGAAAAAGTCAATCAAAACAATTTTGAGTCAACACATGGATATAAAAATTATAAAGAGGGAAACATTATGCCACTAACCAATGAATTGGTTCAGTTAGTGTATTCAAATAAGAGACCAGAACATTCACTAAATACTAAATTATAACATGACGCCATTTTACTTGATTCATACATACAGCTGGTCATACTAAAATATGAACATTTATAAAAACAATTCATACAATTTTTAATTAAATACCCTGTTATTGGGATGACAAACTCTTTGAGTGATTGTTCACTGGTAACTTCTATCAATTCGCCAAGTCCCAGAGCAGCCTGCTCCCTCAATTCAGCAGACCCGCTTATCAGACCCTACCAAAGGTATAACTTGGAAAATGAATTCACAATTGAATCTCCAAACTTTATATCTAACTCACGATACAAAGCTCGGATATATATTAATTTTATTATGTAAAGATCAAAGACACAAAAAAGATATTGAAACTCTGCTTACAGAAAACTATATATACAGAGCTCAGTTACAGGACAAGTCAGTTAAAACTATATAATTAAATCAGTTATAATAACCACAAAGAAAACAAACTATAATATTTGCCTCAAACAGTTACACTAAATCAAAATGGAAACAAACATTTGTAACAAAATAAAAAACCAATAACATTGTCTAACAGAAGATGAACTCAATCCCCCCTCCCCCACAAAATCAAGGGGGCTGAGAAAATGAAGGATCTCTGTTACATTGAGTTCGTCCCCAAGAAAGGAAAATCATGTAGGAGACAAAGCCTTGGGTAGAAGATACACTCACCTCACAATGTTACATCAATGAGCAAGCATTGCTATACCACAATATTTTAATTCTTTACATAACCAAAATGTTAGAATAAATATAACTTATTGTAAAGTTGATGTGTGATTTGTGCTGCACCTACTTCCTAGATATATCTTTTCAGATTCTCTTCTCTCTCATACATTGTATCTTAGGTATCTAAAGTTGTTATAAATATGAGATCCTAAAAGAGGGAAATCATTCCAAATCCTTTTCATTATTCTCAAGTCAAAACAATCAGCAAATTTGTAGTATTATTTAAAAAAATGTACATAGATGATATTAGAGCCAATAGAAAAATAATGCAGAAAAAAGTCCCACACAGAAGGGTAAGAAGAGTTCTACTTTTCACTCAGCTGGAGGGATTAGGGAAGGAAGACTGAACAATGAGATAGTGGAACAGCAAGACCACACAAGAGGATAAACTTACATGACAGCAATAGCATAGAAAATGGTCGATATGATAGAGTCACAACATTCCATAGCTCAAAAAAGAACATTGGCCTTTCATTACTTTAAAAGAAAGCAATCAACCATAAAAAGTCCTGAATGTATCAGACAGGATAAAAAGGTTTTAAAAACAACCTGATACCTACACTTAACTATCCGAAAAAAAATGTGAAAATGGTAAGTATGCAACTGAACCACAAAGCAAGTACTAATTATACAAAATTAAGAAATTGCATTTGAATAAATAGAAGAATACTTGGAGAAAAATTGGCAATATAGGCTGAAGTGCTTTAGGAAGACAAAATCCAGGTATGAGAATTGGCCCTCCCTGTAGAACAATTATGCACAAAACGCATTCACAAATAAGTCATTAGGAACCAAAAACAATATCTGAAAGTCTCAGATAGGAATAAATTCCATAGTCATAGATTCACCTTCTTCTTCCTCCGTTCCTTGTCTCGTGATGTTGACACAGCATCTCGGACAAGTTTTATATAAGAAGGAAGAACCTCCTTGGGTACTGAAATAATGACCCTTGACAAAGCTTCCCAAGCAACCTAACAAAGAGAAATTTATAAAGACATACTATATAGAGAATCTGTGTATAGTATCAAGAACTCCAACACTTACTGCAACAGTAGAAGAATCAGGATCACTTAGCAAGATGATTAAGGTAGATATCATGTTTGGAGCTTCATCAACCAGATATAACTTGCTATTTTTGAAGAAATATCCTATCAGATATGAACTAGATCTTCTTACAACAGCCTGTAGACAATTATCAAAGAGGGAACAAAATTTTAAGGAGGGGCATGTAGGAGAGAGACGATGGGCATTAAATTATATCAATTACCACAAGAATATTACCTGACTGTCATTAACACCTTTGACCAGCTCTGATATCAGTGGCTCAATACCTTCCTCATCAATAACTAAGACCACTGTTTCAGCAGCTTCCTTAGACAATGTTTGCACCTCCTAGAACATCAACCAGAACAAAGGATAAATTTATCCAAATCAGTCCTTAGCAAACATGAAGTTTGAATTCTAAAACAGTATTTTCTCCAAACGGTCTGACTATGGTCTACCTTGTTATCGTCACCCATTGCAGATAGCAAAGGTGGAAGCACAGTACCAAGATGAAAGTTAAGGCCAGGACCAGCAACCTCTGCTAAAGCTCCTAAAGCATGTGCATTGAAGGCACTGCACAGGTACCAAGAAAGTTCTCAGTTAAAAATACAAGTGCCATATAATCTAGGTGACTGGATCAAAACAGAAAGAAACATACGACAATGGAGGATGAACCAGTTTCGGTAAAATATGTGGCAATACCGCACTCGTTCGGACACTGCAAAAAGAAGGATAAATGCAAAAAGTTTAGCTTAAAATAAACAAGAAATCAACAGAAATAAATAATAACTTCTAAACAAGACCTTAATGCTAATGCACATTTTACCTTAAAATTTGCTTAAGACCATCAAGTGCGGTATCAGAAGTTTCATCATCCTCCAATGCATGTAAAAGTGTTGGAACAATCTCGTCAATAGCTAGCATTCCAGCACTCTACGAACCAAATTTGAGAGATAAGGTATTGGAAATAATTTAATCTCAACCACCACTGAGAAAAACAAAAAAGTACAAGTAAAAAGTGCAACCTTATATAAGGTGCTGAATGCTAAACCAGCTGATTCACGAACCTCAGGCACACTGTTAACATATCCATCTAAATATCAGATAATGCAGTCTAAAATTTATGCAGACAGATCAGAATTCAAATGTACGAACCTATCACAGAGTGCAGTCCGAATAGTTGGGATGAGTTCGTTCATGAAAGTCAATAACTGACTCTTACCAGCACTTGCCATCACTTCACTCAGACCAACACATACACCCTTTCAACCAATAAAATCCACAATGGTATCAAATAACAAGTTGAGCTATTGAATCTAAGAAAACCAATTGAAAACCTTGTTCATTAGGAGGAAAAAAAGATCCCAATAACAAACTATTCTAACCTGTCTTCTGCTGCTGTCAGGGTCGCCCAGGCCCTGGGATAAGATTGGAATTATCAAGGGAAGTACTCGTTCACCAAGCTTCCTGACAAGTTCACCCAGTGATCGTCCAGCAACCTGCGTTAGCAATATGAATATGTAATTTCTATAAGCTACAATAGAAAATAGATTGACAGATACAAGTGTCAAGCTCAGACCTGCCGCCTTTCAGATGATGGTGATGCAAGGGACGTAATCAAAGTGTCCATCAGAACTGGCATAATTTCCCT